TTTAACGAGATTATTTTTTTCAAGATAAAGACGGATTCAAAGGGAAGGAGGACTTCTCCACTGATTCCAAGAATTCAAAAAGACCATATAGCTGGGAGGGAGAATAACAGTTACTATTTTCAGAAATACAATAAAGCTTTGGTCAAACCCTGTGGGGCATCTTTTTTTTTTTTTTTTTTTTTTTTTTTTTTTGCTGGCCTGAGGAGCGCAGGGTGGGAGCGAGGGGTCTTCCCAACTCGTACGCTCACATATTTACCTACCTGCCGCGTTTTGAAGCGTAGAATGTCTTTTTAATCAGGTAGGGGATTCTTTACTTTGAAAGAAAGAGAAGAGGACCAAGGGAAATAAAGGCTGCTTTTTGTTAAAATAAGGACAAGTGCTTTCAGAGTGCTATTTGTGGCTAATACTTCCAGTATTTCTGTGCCTCTAATTAGCGACAGAGATCAACCCACGTTCAATAGCAGGAGGTAGGGTTGGAACATGTTACTTCTCAGGGGGGACGTATTGACTGGGCTCCATTTAACTCTGTCATTTGGTGTGCAGGAGAAGCGTGTGTGTGTGTGCAGTCATGTCTCCAAAGCAGTACATGCAGAGATGATAAGGAAGGTGCTAAAGGCTTGCAAGCAGGTAGAGATGCCAGTGAGAAACACGAGAGATAAATTTATTGCCTGGTGGCAAGCAGAGGACAGAAAAGACCAATGTCCCCTTCAATACCGTGCTCCTGAGCGTGCTCCCCCCTGACTTCTTCTCCCCCTCCCCTCTATTCCTCCCCCCACCCCCCGTCTCCAAATTGCTGGATGATGTTGGGAAAGGGGAAGTGAAAAAGCCCTTCAAGCGTGGGATCCAAAATTCATCCTTCCTCCAGCTCCTCTCTTCTCCCAGCAGCTCGAGACCCCCATGTCTACTTCATTGCCTTACAGCTCAGTGTCTTTCTCCCAGAGTCTGTCCTCCGGGAGGTTTTCCCATTACCATCATTGCCAACCTCCCTTCTCTGCCCCTCCACCACACACACCTCCTCCTGCCCCGGGACCCTACGTCCAGGACCGGGGTGATAAACCAAATCCCAGCCATTTCTCCTGATTTCCCCACCTCCTGATGCTGCTGCCGCTGGGATCCTCCTGCACCAGGCTGCTCAGGAAAGTTTCCGTGCAATCATACACCCTTCCCTTCCTAAGTATAGAGGATTCCCACAAATACCCACCATAAAACAAAAACCCCAAACCAACCAAACAAAAAAAAGCCCACAACAAAACTAAAAAAAAAGCCCTTGGGGAAAAAAATTAAACAGCAGGAAGTCCTGAGAGATTAACTCGCTGTGGGAATAGCTCACCCGGTGAGCACAACCTCGCCGTGCTAGTTAAATGATGGTGCTCTGCAGAAGAGATTTATGTGCCCATCAGCAGAATTTTTCCTGGGTTTCAGAGCATTCTGTATTCCCTCTGTGCCGACGGGGCTGGGAGATGGTAGGACACACCATGAGAGCAACGGGAGTTGTTTAGATCACAGTCATTATGATGGATGATGGTAAAACGGTGCCTGGGCAGTAGAACTGACACAGGTTGGAGCGGGTGGCGTTTCTACATTCGGCGGAAGGCGGGGTGGGCAAGCACACCAAACCCTTTGCATACAAACATCAAATAAATCAATGCAATTAATGTAAGCCTAATGGGTGACTGCAACAAGGAAGCGTGAGATGTGCTTAATGGAGAAGATTCCCATTAGCCTGGATGGTTCATTTCCAGCCCTCAGCTCTCCCGGACCAGAGGATCCCCTCTGTTCATGTTGGGCTGGATGACTCAGAAAAAAAACAGGAATGCCTGGCAGTATCTTGGCAGATTTTTGCTACGCTTTGGTCGGTTCTTTCGCTTTTTGTACAAGAGGCTGGTAGTGTCTAAAAACCTCCCAGGCTCCACGGCCCATTCCTGAGTGAATGGTCCCAGACAGCCCTCTTCCCTTCATTTAGATGCCCAGCCTCCCTGCTTGTCTGTGTCTGGCTTCACTGTCAAGGATTACCTCCACCTTCTCTGCTACCTTCATCTCCCCTGGAGCCGTGTGGCTTTGGAACTCCCTTTCGGCTGGGAGTTAATTTCCTAATTTCAAACATTGGCTGTGGCAGGTGGATAACCGGGAGGAGGGGGCTCTGGCAGAGGCAACACCTTTAAATATACATGTCAACGTCCAGCCTGGTGGATCATCCTCCCAGACTTAACCCTACACCCTTCCCAGAGGGGCTCCGGGAGAAGCCAGCTCCTGCAATTGGGGCCCCCCAGCCCCCCCAACCTCTCGCCAGCCTCAGCAGGAGAAGGTATCTTGCTGCTTTCCATCTCCTCACCTGCCACATCGTAGGGGAAGGAGAAAGCAAACCCCCAAAGGGAGCGGGGGGGCGCCTGCTCCCCTCCAGCCCAGAAGCCACCCGTCTGGGGGGGCTCGCCAAAGCTGCCTGTAGCAGGGAGGGAGAGGGACTTGGCTGTGAAGGGTTAATCAAGGGTTGCAGGGTGCTCCAAGCATGAGTCCTGTGTGTGCCTCATTGCTGCACCAGCCAATCCTAGGCGACAGAAGCATGAACTATATGTAGCATTGTGTAAGAAGCGAGGTAAAGAAAATAGGGTGTAAACTGTCACTGTGTATTGGACGACAGGAGACCTGCTTTTTTTGGGCTACGATTTCTGCGCCTCTCGCAGACCCTAATGCATTTGGAAAGGTAAGGGCTTTGTTACCAGCCATCTGTATTGTGGTTCACTTCTGAATTCAAGTACATTTTCTGTGTTAATTAAGTGTTACGTTGCGTAGAGAGTGGGAAAAAAGTGGAATATGGTATGATTTGCTGTTTGGGAATTTTTCTGAAAGACGACATCAGTTTCAAGTTGTAATGGTTTCTTTTAGAAATTAAGCGAGTGTATGCATGCAAAGTAAATGAAATTCATGAGCGGCAGAAAAATGTAATGTATGCAATAAGTGAAGGATGTTCTATTGTAGCATCAAATTCAGTCATGGATCCATATCAAATGAAGGCCAATGTGAGATAGACCTGATTTTGAAAAAAAATATAGGGAGTAATTCAGATACATGTATCTGACAAGCAAATCTGAGAGAAGAAACAAAAAATAACTTATTTCCTAGAAAAGCCCACAACTATCTTTATTTAAATATGGCATCACAGAAGAATGCTATAAAAAGAAGTGAAATCAAAACCTTATAATGTGTATTTTCAAA